ACCATTCTCACATCTTGCTTTTTCTCTTCTCAGTGTTTTTATACATGTTCATAATTACATAGCCAAAGCTGTTACTTATCTTTTGAAAATTAAAAAGAAGGGCAACACTTCATAGAAAGGGAAGAGAGATGATGTACTAAAAAATGCGAGCTATCTGCATTCTTTTCTTGACTATATGTGAAATAGTAAAATTTAATAAGTGTATCTTGGCAAAATGTATACTTTTAAACTTAAAATTGGCCCCTATAATAGTGTTGCTAATTGGCATAATAGGAGACTAAGTCATAGATTATGACATGCCATATGACTTTTTAGTCATTTGTATTCAGACATCTCTTAATTCTCAATTTTTTAGCTTATTCGCTACTCAAATGCATATGTTTAAATTGCATTTTCCCTGTATCTATCGGAACATTGTTAATATTATGAATACTTAATCAGGTAATGAATAAGAAACTTTTACAATTTCGCTATTGCTTCTTTTTTTTTTTTTCGGTACTGGGGATGGAACTTGGGTCCTTGTGCTTGCTCAGGCGGCGAAACCACTGAGCTAAATCCCGGCCCGCTTGTTTAATAGATGAGTAATTTATAAGACATATATGTGTATATATATTTTAAAAGCAACTTTCTGTGACCACTCTGCTTGTGTGATTTTGCCCATCAATTCACCCTGAGAAATAGAATCTTCAATGCAAGATTTAAAGGCCTGTGTCTATGTAAGTAATTAAACAGGAAAATAAGTGAGGATGTTCAACCTGTGATATTAGCAAGTCAAGGATATTTTTATTCTTTCATCGTTTATTTCATTAATTCATTAGTTCATCGAGTATTTATTGAACAAGTATGTGTTCTACCCACACTGTCTACCAGGCACAATTCTGGTAAATGGAGATACACAACGAAGATATTCCTTGCTTGTGTGGCACCAAGGCCCTAACAAACAGAAAGAGGGAATAAACAAGAAAACAGAGACACAAACATGACCATTTTGTACAGTGAAAGTGCAATAAATAACAATAAAACAGGATAATATAATAGTAAATGACAAAATGTTTGTTGACACAAGGGTGTCCAAAAACTTTTTGTAAGATAGCTAGGAATGAGTCTTTCTAAAAACAAGTAACTATTGAAGTTAGAAAGGATAGAGAAGGAACCAGACGTGAAAACTCTGTAGCTATCAAGGTCCTAACCAAGCTTTTTTATTTACTCTGTACAAAGAACAGAAACATACTTTAAGATATGAGGTGCATTCTCTATTACTATGGCCACAAATCAAGTGAGGCTTTGTTAAATTTTAGATAGATTCAAATATAATACAAAAACTCAGTGCCTATATTAGTCAACTTTCCTGTTGCTGGGCCAAATACCCAACACCTACACATTTAAAGAGGAAACGGTTTATTTGTCTTGTGTTTTCAGAGCTTTTAGTTCACGATCATCTGGCTTCAGGGCAGGCACATTATGGCGGAAGAGCCTGGTAGAGCAAAAGTGCTCAGTTCATGGTGGCCAAGAAGCACAGAGGGGAACAGTGCCAGAGAGGAACTTGCCAGGGACCAGATGCAGACCCCAAGGTCACACTTCCATGACCCACCCAGACACATCCAGAAGCGATTCACTAATCGAGTTGACAAGCCTAATGGCCACAGGTCCTTGGTGGCACTATGCATGGTTCAAGAGCTCAACAGCCATTTGTGGTTAATGTCTACTCTAATGGACAACATGGAGTACGTTTCTATCACTGAAGAGAGCTCTAATAGATAGGGCTGTAGTAGTGAAGTAGAACTGAAATAGGGAGGTCAGACAGAGTGGCTTGGACAGACCATGAAGGCTTGTCATAAGGACTTTGAATTCTGCAAGGGCTACGGGAAGCCTTGGGATGGTTTGAAGCAGGGGAAGGAAAGTTATCATTCATTTGCATAGAAAATGAATTATGAGGAGGGAAAGACCCATTAGTTATTGGAGTTGTTCTGCCTAGGGATGGTGGTAAGTTTTTGGTTAGTTATTTTATAAGAGGAATGGTGAAATGTAAATGAATCCAGGGCATATTTTAGAGATAGAATCAAATGAATGTCTTAAAAGACTGGAAGTGAATGAAGATCAAGAGAAAATAATCAAGGGCAATGCCCTCTTTTGAGACTTGAGCAGCAGGGTAGGTGGTTATTTATGTTCTTTACTGGGGTAAGAGAAGACTGAGGAGAAATACTTTGTGGGGGGTGGTAGGGGTTGGAGGGAAGGTGTTGGAAGTTAAGAATTCTGCTATAAATACATTCTGCTTTGGGTCTCCATCGTATATAAGTCAGAGGTCAGGTGGGTAGTGGAGAATGAATGAACCTGTATTAGGGAGTGTAAACTTGAAAAATTTTACAAAATAATTGCCTTAAGCATAACTATATTTGGCAAAGTACAGATGATTTGCAATAGAGTCAAAGAACTTCAGAAAGAACTAATACAGTAAAACTGCACCAAAGAGATTTGACTGACTGAATAGCTAGAGCAAGTCAAATTTCAATTTTTCTTTCTGTTGTCTGTGCTCCACTACTTTTCCTATGTGTACGATTTCCTTATTCTTGGGCCGTGGTGTAACTATTTCATTGGCAACACTGGAGATTGAACCCAGGGCCTTCACACTGAGCTACATCCCCTACCCTTCATCACCACACCAGGCATGTATCATAACTTTTTTGAATTCTGATTCATCATTACCTGCCAAAAATAGGCAGTATTGATATGCAGTTGCTTAATTTATGTGCTGTGGCTTATTTAAGATACTGTCTGCTACATGCTCATTGCCACCTTTTTCAGTCAGTATAGTCCTATATATTTTTTCAACTAATTTGAGTCCTTTGGTTTCCTGTCTTTGGTGTCTAGATGGTAATGGGGAGAAAAAAAAACTACCTTCTTTTCTTCTGATGGGACAAATAACTTTCTGATTGTGATTTTTGTTAAAAAAAAAAAAAAAAGGAGAAACCTAGTTGCCAGGGTGCTGCATCTGCTATTGAGCAACTCAAGGATGCAGTTAAATTACAGACCTCATATTCTCGTTTTGTTGCCATTAACAAATATTTTTCTATTACAACTTTTAAAAAAGTCTCCTTCTATCCCTTAAGAGTACAATTTTATGATAATATTCTATCATCTTTTCTAAACAACTGAAATAATTGTAGAGGACAGAGAAGATGGAAATGTCCTAAAACTCCCCTCACCATGCTTTTCTCTCTAACCTTGATAAATGCCCAGATTTTTATAGGTTTTCAATTTAATATACCACTTTTGCTACCAGGGCGAGATAAGCATGATTTTCCAATCACGGTTTTTCACTCTGTAGTGTCCCAGGTAGGATCTGGCATATGAATCATGTGTCTAAAAAGGAAACTCATGGAAGTATGTGTGCATGCTAGGGGCTCATTTGTCTTTGGCAAAGTTGGCTGCTCCTGTTTCCTTAATTATGAGACAGATGGTGCCCACTACGACTGAGTACTGCCCAACTTGTACTTCTGTGTGTGTGGCAGCACAGTTCTGGTCATGTGATAGAGGGACACTGTACCCTTTCATCTTCTTCTATCCATTTGTCATCATATTAACATTAATATCTGCGTTCAACTAGAGCGGGCTCTTTCCCAAGAAGCTAAATCTGTAACTCAAGCCATCTTCCCCCCTCCCCCTTTGATTTCAAATATCTCCTTTCGGCGCTTTTATGCTTCATCTCTGCACACAAAATGCAATGGCATATTGAACCAATTAGCCAGATACTCCACTATAAACACACTTTAGCCCGGAATGTCTAGTTCATTAAGACAAAATTGGTTTATTAATATTATTATTGAGAGCAAATGACATCTAAGATAGTCATTAAAATGGGACATGGGTGGACAATCATTTTTAAGAAATCAGCTCTCAAGGAATATTGGAATTTAAAAAAAAATCCATTGAACAGACACTGAATTTTTTTTTCATAAACTGCAAAAATGGTCAGTTTTTTAAGCTTCTCAAATACCTTCTATTACATGTAATCATTAGCAAAGCATGGATTATTTTTTTCTCATAAGCTTTTTTCATTGTAGGTGTTATATTTCACTATACATCTTCTTGAGGCTATAGGCCCCTAATAGAGTGATTTTTACTATCCACAGTCAACAACTGTTGATTAATATTCATACTCCAAATTTTTAAAAAGTTACACTAAAAGAAAAACACCAAAAACCAAAACTATGCGGGCCCTCCCTCTGCTCTTTAATACCACTGTGTCTAGATAACTCTGAGATTCTCCCATCATCTGATCCAACAGGGCAGGCTTGGGTTCTTGGCTGCAAATAGATCTTCCAGCGGGAGCAACCAAAGCATTACTCGAGAACTTTGGTGCATCTTTAAATCACCCAGACGCCAGATGTGGCTGTCATTTTCAGTGACAGCAGCAAGTACTTCTGCTGGCTCTCGTCCCTCACCAAGCAGCCGAGTGCCCGCCCTCCCCAGCAGCGTCCTGGAAAGCGCAGGCTCAGAGGGCCGGGCCGCGGTGTGGGGAGCGGGCGCGCGGCGGCCTCGCCTCGGCGACCCCGCGGTCGCGAGTGCGCGGATGGCGTGGGCCGGGCTCCGGGCGGGGGAGCAGCGGGGCTGAGAGAGCGCGCCTCCTCCGGGGCGGGGCGGGGCGGGGCGGGGCGGGGCGGGGGCTCGGCTCCGAGAGCCAGGCCGGGGAGTTGCCTTAAAGAAAGCGGAATTGTCCACCACTCCAGTTGCCTGGGTTATGATTTTAAGGAGTCGTGTCTACTCGTTTCCCTTTTGCAAAACTGCAAGTCACCACCGACCTTGCACCAAAAAGAAGGGCGTGTTGCGCGCGCGTGTGCGAATCTCATTCTCCCTTCTTGCCCTGCCTTTCCTCTCGCCCTTTCCTGCTCGCTCGCTCTCCCTCCCTCCGTTCTCCGCCGCAGCCGCTCCTCTCCCACGGGACACCGGAACTTGTAGATTATCTCTCAGCCCCTTTCCATTTTGCCCACCCCGTGCCACGAACTGGACCGACAAACGCGGGGCCGGCCTTGCTTTCTGCCCCAGGGAATGGCGATTCGCGTCCCGAGGCGGTTCCGGGGAGGCTCGGCCGTGGAGAGAGCGACGGAGAGCGCTGCAGGAAGCCGGGCAGCTCCCTCTGCCTCGGGCCTGGCGCGCGCGACGGCCCCAGACAAGCCCCGCGCTCCCGGCTCCTGCGGCGTCCGCAGCCCCGGGGCGCGCGTGCAGGCGGCAGCATTAAACTCCTGAAGTAGGGAGAGACCCCGCGGATAGAAGGGGGCGGGGGTGTGTCAGAGAATCCTCAAAGCTATTCAAAGAGAGAGAGAGAAGTCCAGGCGTGGTCCAGCCAGCTTTTCACTTGAGGTCTCCGTGGAGCATCTAGCTTTGCTCCCGGAGTTACTCGAAGGCGGAAACTTTTCAGCGGACTTTGGGCCTAGGGAGAAGAAGGGATGGGGGGGGGGTGCTGGGAAGAGCGAGTGCGCGCCCGTGGCTCGGGGCGCCCCCTCGGGGGGGACCGGCGTGGAGGTCGCGCCTCGGCAGTGCCGGCCAGTGCCGCCGGAGACGGGGACGAGCTGGACCGAGGCGGGGGGAATCGTGCGCTCTCCACTTGGCCGCGGGGAGCTCCGGTGCTGCAGCCGCTCCGGCGCTCGCGGAAACTTTCCTCGGCGCTGTGCGTAGGCTCGCTGTCCTTTCTGCTGGCGGTGCTGGTGCGGCGGGTCGGCGAGGAGAGTGGCCGGGAGCTGGGGCCGAGTCCGGAGGCGGCGGCGGCGCCTGCCGCGGAGGAGGAGGAGGGAGGAAGGGGGGAGGAGGAGGAGGAGGAGAAAGAGGAGGAGGAACCGGCCCCGGGAGCAGAAGGGGGCGTCTTCCCCGGCGCTCAGGGAGGCGCGCCCGGGGGCGGCGCGCAGCTCAGCCCCTGCTCCTCAGTCTCCCGGGTGCCTTCTTCTGGATGGGCTTGTACCTCCGGCGCGCCGGGGTGCGCCTGCCTCTGGCTGTCGCGCTGCTGGCCGCCTGCTGCGGGGGGGAAGCGTTCGTCCAGATTGGGCTGGGCGTCGGGGAGGATCGCCTGCAGTCGCTGCCCGCCGCGGGGGTGGCGCTCAGCTGCCTGGCCGCCGCGACATGGCTGGTGCTGAAGCTGAGGCTGAGGCTGAGGCTGGGCGTCCTCATGAGCGCCTTGACTAGCGCGGTCAGGACCCTGGGCCTCTTTTCCTTGGAGTGGTTCAAGGTCGCCTGGAGACCTTACCTGGCGCACTTGGCCGGCGTGCTGGGGATCCTCCTGGCCAGGTACGCGGAGCAGATCCTGCCGCAGTCTCGGGGGGCGGCTCCGAGGGAGCGTCTGGGGTCCCAGGAAGAGATCCCGGTGTTCAGGAGGCGGCGGCGCTCCAGCTCCGTGGTGTCCGGCGAGATGTCGGGCTGTGGCGGCAAATCCCACCGCAGGACCTCCCTGCCCTGCATCCCCCGGGAGCAGGTAAGCGCGGGGTGCCGGTCTCGGGGCGCTTCGGGGAAACTTGGGAAGCGGCTCACAGTGTTGCAGACAACTCCGGGAAGGTCCTCTAGGAAAACGGTAGAACTTCCGACTTTGGGAGAAAGTAGCGTTTTTAATCTCTCTCTCCCAGAGCATTCTGTAACCTGAACGACAGGCGCTCGGAGAGAGGACGCAACTCAAAGGCGTTTGCACGCGTTTCCTTGGCCGGGCAACTTTTTCCGATGTGCTGCACCTGGTGTGTGGCTTCCCTGCCCTTTAAAGTGCTTTCAGGCTTTCCTCCCTTAGCAGAAATGGTAGAATTGGGCCTAGCGTTTAAGCAATGAGCAATTTGTTTTTCAACACACAGATTTTTCCTAGATTTCTTCCTATTTCCTTTTTTTAAAAAAATTTTTCTTTCTTATAAAGCAGCAGGCAGACATTTATGAAAATCAGCCAACAGAATCTGCACTGAAGCAAGGCATGCTTGGGGGTGAGCTGTCACACACACTTTCTGGTTTTGCAGTAAGTTTTACTTGGAGATGTAAAGTACTGAGGGTGTCCACTGGTTTTTAAATATAACTGAGTGACACGAACTATTACATGCCAGTGTTTTATATTCTACACATAAACTTCAAATTTGAGGCTAATGTGTCTGGACTTCAAAAGGTAAACTATGCTGTTATTGTCCACCAAAAAAATGACATTTCTCTGGAGCATTTACACAATGAAGTGGGTAGTTAGAAATTCAAACGGACTGATCCAGGTTTTTATAGGAAGCACTCAGTCGGAAGAATATTTCTAAGTGATATCTTTCAGAAAGGGGAGGTGCAAGAATCTGGAATTATGAGTGGAACTATAAATAAAAGTTTAGTCAGTTTTGATGATGAATCTCCTTATTATCAGTAACTGTTTTAAGACCGTGGAATAGTTGCTACAAATTGCATAAAAGAACAAATTCCAATTTCAAACATAAATTATACCTGGAAAAGCCTCCTTCTTCAGTTCTCTCCTGGAAGATTTGACACTGGATGAAGGGAGGCTGGAAAGCTGGTTATGGACAGCAAATGGAAATTTACACTTTTCCCATTTAAATTCATGCCTATCTGTGGCACCATTAGGAGGGCAACCTTAGGGTGTGAAAGCATATTCTAAGGTGTGGAAAGCCTTTTCTTTTTAGATTACATTGTAGACAGTCTTTTAGGTATTTCTAAGGAATAGCAGTCACCATATGGTGTGGGTGGCTAGTTTGTTTCTGAAGAGTTGATTACATAGATCAGTGGTTGTTTGACATTATTTAGCAGCGTGGATGACAGCATCATAATCTCTGCGTTTATTTTCAAAGAAATGTACTTATTTAGCTTCTTGTTTAGATAAAACAAATGTCTTGGGTTTAAGCTTATTCTAAGAGTAAAGGAAAAAGCAGGCCACAGACTGATACTTAGTTGTAATAGAAATTTAGAGATCATTAGAATAAAGTTATCTACTTCAAGGTAGGGTAATTAGGATAGAAATACAATAGAATTTCTTTCCAGGATTATGGGAGAAAATATCTTTTAAATGAAATTGCCACTGGTTATTAGAACAACTCTTCAACATACAGTGAAATGTGATGTGGTCCAGACAAACACTGAACCCTAATTTCTAAGAAAAATCTGGATTTAATCATAAATAACTTGACTGCAAATTAATATCATGTAGCCTCTGAAAAGACATTCTGAAATTCCATGTTAACGTTTGAGGGAGTTAAGGGTGGATTTAAGATAAGACAGTATTTAGATGAATTAACCAGCCATGTTAAATAACCCACAGATTTTTATTGGTTTTCTCTGGTTTAAATTAGTACATGAACAATTGCAATAATAAGCAAACTTATAAGAAAATAACTCAACATGGCCTTTTAAAAATGTTTTGCTGACTAATGCGGTTGAAGAATTCATATGTGTAATCTATTTCAATCATTTTCTTGGGTTACCTTTTTTTTTAAAGGCTGTGTTTATGAATAATGTTCTAAAACTAGAGACAATCTTACAGTTGATGGAAAAACAAGATTACACTTAGCAAAAATTTAAATCCTTGAAGTTTTAAAGAAGGCATGGGTGTGTGTGTGCTACTGAAGGTTAGTTTTTATAGATGACCCATTAAAGTTTTGCTCAGCTTAATTGTGGGGAGTAGGTGGGAACTAACACGGGATAGTACCTTATAAGATAGGGCGATATCTCATACGTTAGCCTGTGTAAAAAGTTCAGGAGCTATGCAGTAAATGGCTTATCTGTTTTATCATAAGGAAACAAACTTCTGGTTAAGGGTGCAAAGTGTACCACTGTCATTTGCATACTTTATGAAGAATCAAAATAATTATAAAATGAGTATATAACCCTCCCTGGAATGATACTGGATTAGCTCTTTTCTGAAAGAGCATCTGCTCTCAACTTAAAGCAATGCTTGTAGGCATCAAGTTAATTTTAAACAGTGCTATGAGTGTGTGAAGCACAAAGATCTCCTGAGAATTTTTTTGGATGTTGCTCATTGTGAAGTTTAAAGGTGAGAGAATTTCGTCATTTCCTTCTCCATATGGATGACAGTGGCTGCTTGGTTATAAGTTCGCTCTCTGCTTAGTTCTAGAAGAGCAAAGAGAATATATGATAAAATTCTCGTAAGACAAACCAATTGACAGATATGTATTCTGCTCTCCCCTTCCTTCCTTCCAGAAACTTACATGTATAGAAACTAAGCCTATCATTGGGTTATCACATGTAGAACTGAGTTTTGCAGCACTGATGATAAAGATGATTTCGAGCAAAGAAAGGCTAAAATAGGTACAGTCTTTGATTACGGAAATTAATCAAGCAGTGGGTGTGTCTGAATGCAAGTGAAAGTATCTTTACTATGAGTAAAGAACAAAGTTTATAGCATCTTTTTTAGTCTAGCCTGCCCAGTACCCTGAAGTCTGATTTTGTGGATGAGTGTGCCTAACTACTTTTAAGGCTGGCAGTGTTAAGAAGATAAATGTCTCCTAAGATGTACATGCCATCTCTAAGTGGATCTTCACATCTGAGAGCAGCTATATTTCGCTCAAGTTACTACTGTACTTCTGCAAATACTGGAATACACAGAGGTGTGGAATTTCATAAATTATTAGATATTATGCATGTTTAATAAATATGTTGTTCACATAAATTTTAATTATGTAATTTCTAACATTTAGAAACTATCTGAGGGATTCTAGTCTCTTTCTACATAAAAGTATAGTTCGTTGTTTATTCCTATTTGATTACTGTGACCATCTTATGCATTCATTTTTGAAAGATTCCAAAATGTGCGATTTTATTTTAGTTACATATTAAGAAGCATTTAATATTTTACCTATAGTCTCACACAAAATAAATACAAGGCATATAACTTTCTCCATTAATGCATTTGAATCATTTAATGGCATAAGTCTTTTGTGATGGGTACAACATGAATCAGAAATGTTCAGACATATGCTGGATATTATGCCATTAAAAACCAAAATTGTTTCCTATGACTCCATAAGCTCTCAAATGTTCATATATATATACATATATACATGTATATATATACATGTATATATGAATGTACAGTTATAGAATATAAGTTAATTTTGAGCTGGTTATCAGAAGAAGTGTTTTTCATCACTGATATAAGAAAGGCATTTTCAAGCAAAAAAACAAACAACCAAACAAAAATAGAAGAAATGGGCATGAGATTTGATGGAAGGCATTGGCAGGCATATAGTGGACTTTGTTATTTTATTAATGAAAAGGTATAACTTGATATTTTTTTTTTTGGTACTGGGGATCAAACTTTGGGACCTTGCACTTGCGTGGCAGGCGCCGGAACCACTGAGCTAAATCCCCGGTCCCAAACTTGATTTTAAAAGATGTGCAGCACAAAAATATTTCTTTTAAACACATAGATCACCCTTTACATTTATAAGTCATTTTAATATATTTCTCAAGATGAATAAATTTCCAAAATAATGATGAGCTTTATAGTTAAATTGTATGACCTGTCACATTTCTGTAGTATTACTTGTGGTGATACAAAGAGCAATATAGATGATATATGACTTGGTGACAGAATTAAAATCAAGTAATATCAACTTCTGAAAATACTGAAAAAGGAAAACAGGATTTTCTTATCCCCTGGGAAAGGTGAGGGAAAAGAAGGTTTTGTTTTTCTGTGATTTTAAAATCGTAATTTTACTTTGTGAATACAGATATTTAAGGCATACTGAAAAACAGCTTTAACCGACAGAAATAGTCAGTGAATCTATATAAATTCACAGAGGTTGGAAGGAGTGAAAACAGTCATTTTACTCTTTCTGTATTGAGTCTGCAAAGTAAAAAGTTAAAACTGTAGAACTGAAAGAAATGCTGTGTATGCTGGGCTGTCATGTTAATTAAATAAACAACCAGAACACTGACTCTGTGTATGAAATACATTTTAAAAAGTCGGGGGGGGGGTGTTGCAGGCTGGGGAGGCAGTGTGACACAGGATGAAAAAACATTCATTATATCTGTAGAGACATTTGTGTGAATTTGTTATATTAGGAAACTCAGCTCTGAGAATGATCTCTTCAAGACTCTTGTTGAATAAAGGCCTTACCAAATCTAATTTTACTTGTTTTGAATAGGTTCTCATTATGTTGAGGGAGTGTGTTTATGAAGCTCAAAGTTACCAATCTGCCTATGCATTATATTTTAAGATTAAAAAAAAAGACTTTCAGTTAATATGGTTTGTGTCAGTAACAGCCCAGTAGAACCTAGTTGACTCCATTGAGAAAGCTTGTGTTAATTTGTAAAAAGAATGAGTTTCTTTTGGGATTAGGGTGGGAGTTGTATTTTTTAGAAAATATTGCTGTGCAGTGGACCCTCTTGGATATACAAAGATGAGCAAGGCCGCTACTGTATCATATGAGATCCTAAGAGATTTTTGAAATGCCGAAGCCTTACCTTTGAGTGGGCTCTGAGGAATGTTTC